AATAATACCTGGATAAATAATAATACCTGGATAAATAATAATACCTGTATAAATAATAATACCTGGATAAATAATACCTGGATAAATAATAATACCTGGATAAATAATACCTGGATAAATAATAATACCGGGATAAATAATAATACCTGGATAAATAATACCTGGATAAATAATAATACCTGGATAAATAATAATACCTGGATAAATAATAATACCTGGATAAATAATACCTGGATAAATAATACCTGGATAAATAATAATACCTGGATAAATAAAGAGTAAATGAACAAACGAAGAAAAAATCAAACGGATCAACAGCAACATCTGTCTCATCCACCGGTACCAGCCCGTCCTTCATTTGGTCCTGGGCCACACAGAAAAAACTATTCAAAGAACTAAACCTTCACTTTTGAACGACAGTAAAACATTTAGAGTTTAAATGAAAAAGCCTGGAAGTGTTCAGCTTGAGCTGGTTTAAATGGTGGGAATTCCCTTTAAATGCTCCAGCTGTGAGCTCGACTGCAAACTGAGACCGACTGAGTCTGACCGCTGTCTGCTGCGGGTAAGACACTGCCTGTGCAGAACTACTTTACGTAACCCCTTCAGACGAACAGTTTGAAATCAGAACCATCTGCTGGACCCGTAGAACCGCCCCTTTAAAGTGGATCCATTAAATCTGACGCCGGCACCGGTTTTTAACAGAACCTCAGAAAGGATCCGCCCACGGCCACATTGATCCATTCTGTTTCTGCAACAAACAAAAAGCTTCAAACACAAAACAACAAAAACAAATCTGAGTCAGGTTTCTGACAGCGGATCCACAACAAACAGCAGAGAGCAGCTAAACGTGAACCAAACGCTCGCCTACTAACAGCCGAAGCACTAATTGACGTGAGCTTTTATTATTCAGGCCATCAGTGACCTCTGACCTCTGGCGTGTTCCAGGTTATTTACTGATTAAATGACTGGACCCGAACTGAAACCATCAGAACCTAAACAGGAAGTAAGGAGACTTCCAAATGATGGACATCGTGAGGTTTTACCTCTGGAGAGGGCGGAGGAGAGACGGAGCGAGGAGACAGGGACCTCTGCAGGAGGAAGACACAAACACTGATCAGAGCCATAAACATCAAATAAACAAGCGGCAAACAAACACAAACATGTTGTTTACAGGCACGTTGAGTTAAACTAAAGATACAGAAACAGCTGAAATGTGTTTGTTTACCTACAGAAACGGCTGAAATGTGTTTGTTTACCTACAGAAACGGCTGAAATGTGTTTGTTTACCTACAGAAACGGCTGAAATGTTTGTTTACCTACAGAAACGGCTGAAATGTTTGTTTACCTAAAGAAACGGCTGAAATGTTTGTTTACCTACAGAAACGGCTGAAATGTTTGTTTACCTACAGAAACGGCTGAAAT